TTGGAGAATTTACCAGCCAGCTGCAATTAATGTTTGTTTTGCCTTTGATAAATTGGAACGCTTCCCTTCTCCAGAAGTGGAGTGGATTTCAGAAGCTGTAATTCTTCCATTAACTCAACAATTTCCCTAGCATGAGAAAGCAACCTGTCACTTCTCAGTTTGTCATCTGTCATTTCAAGGTCCTGGGCATATGTCTGATATGTTTTATGATGATTATTTGGGCTTCTTGTGTCAAAACATTTAAAGCCACTAATTAGTCTTTCCTTACAAAGTGTTGGGATTAAACAAAATGTGCCACTCAGTTGCCTTGCTGCTTCCTATCTCCCTCCCCCCCCCCACTTGTTTAATTACCGGTTCCTTCGTTATAAATACTCACTGAGGGTTTTTGTTTGTTTGCTTATGATATTTCTTCCATCACTTCTGAGACACAAAGCAGCATTCCTTAAGGATTTTTCGCTGATGCTGCCCGTCAGACAGGTTGCTGACAGGATGAGCTAATTCTAGGACTGCTGTTTGAATTCTATTGCATTTCTCTTCACACAAAGCAAGAGAGAGAGAAGAGGGGAGGAGAGAAAAAGAGAGGAGAGAGAAGAGAGAGGGGAGAGGAGGAGAGAAAAAGAGAGGAGAGAGGAGAGAGAGAGAGAAGAGAGTGAAGAGAGAAGGAGGGACTGAGAGAGAGAGAAGAGAGAGAGAGAAGAGAGAGAGGAGTGAGAGAGGAGAGAGAAAAATAGAGAAGAGAGAGAAGAGAGAAGAGAGAGGAGAGATGAAAGAGAGAGAGAGAAGAGAGAGATGAGTGAGAGGGGAGAGAGAAAAATAGAGAAGAGAGAGACGAGAGAACAGATGGGAGAGAGAGGAGAGAGAGAGAAGAGAGCGAAGAGAAAAGGAGGGACAGAGAGAGAAAAGAGGGAGAAGAGAGAGAAGAGAGAGAGAAGAGAGTGAAGAGAGAAGGAGGGACACAGAGAGAGAGAAGAGAGAGAAGAGAGAGAGAGAAGAGCGCGAGGAGAGAAAGAGGGACGGAGAGAGAGAGAGAGAAGAGAAAGAGAGGAGTGAGAGGAGTGAGAGAGGAGAGAGGAGAAGAGAGAGAAGAGAGAAGAGAGAGAAGAAAGAGAGAAGAGAGAGAGATGAGTGAGAGGGGAGAGAGAAAAATAGAGAAGAGAGAGATGAGAGAACAGATGGGAGAGAGGGGAGAGAGAGAGAAGAGAGCGAAGAGAGAAGGAGGGACAGAGAGAGAGAAGAGAGAAAAGAGAGCGAAGAGAGAAAGAGGGATGGAGAGAGAGAGAGAGGAGAAAGAGAGGAGTGAGAGGAGAGAGGAGAAGAGAGAGAAGAGAGAAGAGAGAGAAGAGAGAAGAGAGGGGGGAGAGGGAGAGAGGGAGAGAGATGAACTCTTCTGCGTGATTACCAGTAATTTAGTAGATGAATAGTCAAAAACGGTTCAGCACCAAAGACAGCTCCTATAACTATCTACATCCTTTCTTTCTCTCTCTCTCTCTCTCTCTCTCTCCCTCTCTCCCTCCCTCCCTCCCTCCCTCCCTCTCTAGGTTACTTTATGTTTTAGCAACAGTTCCTTCCATTTCAACCGTTACTAGTTAGCCACGTTTTCCTTACCAGTGGAAAGATGGTTAAGTCGTTCCCCCCCACCCCCGGAAAGGAGGATAAATAAACATGAACGGTGGAGAAAGAGGATCAGAAGTGGGCCTCCCTCGCTTTTCAGAACATGGTTTGCCTTTGAACTTTGCAAAATCCTGCCCGTGCCAGCCGTTCAAAGCAAACAGCAGAAAGGGCTGCGGAGCCGACGCTTGTGTTATTGGAGCAATCAAACTTGGATAGTATCAAGAATTTAAAATATAAATAGTAACAGAGTTGGAAGGGACCTTGGAGGTCATCTAGTCCAACCCCCTGACCTGCTCACTCAGGAGACCTATACTAGGGATATCGAACCACCGACCTTTCTGATTGACAAGCTCAGCGTCTTAGCCACTGAGCCACCTAGTCAGGCATTGTTTTTTGGTAATTTGGTAAGCCTTTCCCTCACAACCTTGATTGAATGCAGGCCGGTAGCCATGAAGTCTACAGTTCATCTACTGTGGTGTCCGCGAGACATTATACCGCAAACGTTCTCCCTGTTTCACATCTGCCATTTGCTCTCTGTCCTTTCCACCCCTCCACCCCAGAAGACTAAACATCTCCAAGCTCCTGTGGGCCACCACGAGCAGGGTTTTGTCAGAGGAATACCCTCTGTAAAGCTTAAAATTAATCCGAAGTCGAGTTCTTCGGCAGATGAACTCAATACAAATCAAAAGGAACACTCTCAAATCCCTCTGGAGCAGTGCTTCAGAAAGAGCTTAACCCAACACCTTCAAAGAGGAGCAAATTGATGTCCTTGTCGACAGCATGTTCCTCTTTTAATCATGCAAAAATTAAGACTTCGTTTTTTCTATGGCTTTGTTCTCCCCCCTCCACCCTGCAAAACGGGCCTTTGGGTCCTAACTCTTCTCTCTATCTTCCCTACCTCAAGAGGTCCCCCTCATTGGGATTGAATGGAAATTCAGAAAGGTATATTTAAAGAATAAAAACAAAATAAATGTTTTTAAAGAAGAGTCTAGACAGTCACTTATCTGAAATTGTATAGGTTCTCCTACTTGAGCAGGGGGCTGGACTAGAAGACCTCCAAGGTCCCTTCCAGCTGATTCTAATTCTATTCCATTCCATTCCATTCGATTCCATTCCATTATTCTATTCTATTCTATTCTATTCTATTCTATTCTATTCTATTCTATTCTATTCTACTCTACTCTACTCTACTCTACTCTACTCGACTCTACTCTACTCTACTCTACTCTACTCTACTCCATCCCATCCATTCCATTCCATTCTATCCCACCCCACCCCACCCCCACCCCACCCCCTCTACTCCACCACTATATTCTATATCTATATCTATATCTATATTCTACTCCACTCCACTCCACTCCACTCCACTCCCCATTCCCATTCCCATTCCCATTCCCATTCCCAATTCTGTTCTATTCTATTCTATTCTATTCTATTCTATTCTATTCTATTCTATTCTATTCTATTCCATTCCATTCCATTCCATTCTACCCCACCCCACCCCACCCCATCCCCTCTACTCCACCACTATATTATATATCTATCTATATCTATATCTATATCTATATCTATATCTATATCTATATCATCTATATCTATATCTATATCTATATTCTATATTCTATATTCTATATTCTATATTCTATATTCTACTCTACTCTACTCTACTCTACTCTACTCTACTCTACTCTACTCTACTCCACTCCACTCCACTCCACTCCACTCCACTCCACTCCCCATTCCCTAATCTAATCTAATCTAATTTAATCTAATCTAATCTAATGGCTAGGGAGACAATTCTACAATATAACACAGAACACTCGCTCACAAACCTCAGCCTTTCAAAACATATCCAAGTAGAGGAAACCCTTAGCTCAGACATCAAAATTCCACCAGTGTGTGTTCTTTGGCTTTGGAATCAATTTTTTTTTTTAAAAAAAATGATCCAAAACAATGCAGAAGGAATAGTTCAGCACAACACATATGTAATCCATCTGGGCCCCTGCCTGTACCGAAGAACCGATTCCCGCAATGTACAAATTGAGAACTCTAGAACCAAAGCAGGCCGTGCCCTACAAAAAAACTTCACAGAAAAACGTTCATCAAGCGTGACCATTTTTTTAATCGACAAGACCTCCCATCCTGCTGCAGTTGTACCCAAAAAGGACCAGACAACTAACCAGGGAAGTCCGTAGAGTTTGCAAATACAGTAAATCTGGAACGAGCTCCCCACCCCGGAGATACGGAGGATCCCGGATCTGCATACCTTCCGTCGCGCGCTCAAGACTTTCTTATTTCATCAAGCTGGCCTGACCTAAGTTTTTCCCCCTTTTCAAATGGAAATTTTAAATTTGGTTTTAAATTATTGGGGTTTTAAATTTGTTCAGCCAAATTTATTTAATTCGTTTTATTCTATTTTTAAATTTTGTATTTATATGTTTTATTCTATGGCTGTTCAGTGCCCTGAGTCCTTCAGGAGTAGGGCGGTATACAAATTCAATAAAAACTAAAAAAAAACTAAAACTAAATGACAGGCTGTTCTTGGTTACCCATTTACCATCCTGGGTAGGAAAGACTGTCAAACTCAAATCCAGGGGGCCAGATCCGGCGCATGGGGTGCTTTGATCTGGCCTATGGGGTTGTCCTGTAAACAGCGAAGGACCAGCCCATGGTGCTTCTGCTTCTGCCAGTGAAAACAGAGCCATCCTCCCGAACTCCATTTTTGCTGGCAGAAGGTTGCTGACAAGATTTGGGTTAATGTCAATGTTCCAAGTAACACCCCACCCCCCAATGAAATAAGACTCCATGGCTAAGCACCCCTCAAAGTTCCATTTCATTAGAGATGTCATATTGGCACATCTGGGAAAACCCGAATCTGAAAGCTTCCAGGTTTTCCCCACCCAAAGGAAAGTCAAAGTCCCTGCCCAGCACCCACATGTCCATCACATGGTCTAATCCAAGCACCGTCCCAACAGGAGATGCCTCCCAGTTCCAGACGTACAAGTGCAAGGCAGGATGTCCTTGACTCTCAGAGAAAGGAATGTTATTTTGACTACATATCTCCCCAGCTCCATACAATCCCCCCCTTCCCAGTTTCTCACAGTAGTAAATGTGGCAGGCCTGAAGGTCCAATGAAAAAGATGGCTTCCAGGCCTGACAGTTGCAGGAGGCCGTCGCAGGCAAAAACAGAGCTCAGAAACCCATTTTCGCTGGAAGAGTGTTCAGGCCACTACAGGCGCCCCCGACACGAATGATGTTGAGCTGGCCCCACCCCCTGACCATGCCTCCCAGCGGCCACCCCACCCCCACCCCCCAAGGTCAAACATAACCATAATACAGCCCTCAATGAAATCGAGTTTGACACCCCTGTTGTAGAAGAAGACCCTTACCATGACGGACACGTGTAGCATGTGCATCTGTTCATCCACAATCTCTGAAGGTTCTTGAAGGCTTGGCGGTGTGGCCCGGGAAAGTTGTTCGGCGTTGCTCATGGACACATGGAAGTAGAGTGTGCCGTTTTCCAACCACTGCTGCTTCCAGTGCACCAAAGAAAGATCTGACACCGTTCCCGACATCTCTGCAAAGAATTAAAATAGAACTTCGTATTTATATATTGCGAAAAGCACTCCATCTCGCAGCCGTTTGTCAGTCATTCTGATCTGCAATTGTATTTTTAAACTTACGTGGTTGTGCTTGCTATTCCTTTCTTATCTTGTCCACATTTCTCCCCCCTTAATGGTCCCTTACCCTTTGTTCTTCTCCAGCTACGGACCCCAAAGAATGCAGCACACACAAAGTCTGTACAAACCTTAGTTCACTAAATTAAATCAGTCTTTTCCAAATAAAGGCTGTTAATTAACTTTCTTAACAGCCTACAAGAATCCAAAGAATAAATAACCGTAATCTTACTAGGGTTGGCAGAAAGCCCAGAAGCAATTTGCAGAGAACTACGATCAAGACACGAAGGAGAGTGAATGAAGTTGTTCCCTGCAAATTGTTTCAGTCGGCGTTCCTCCTTAAATAGGCTAAGGGAGTGGTCAATTAGCCCCAAGCCTTACTCTCGAGGAGACCTCCTCCTGAGGAGCCACTCCTGCCTTTTGGCAGCTCTGTGCGCCTGTGCATCGAGAAGAGGCTCCTCCTCCTCTTCTTCTTCTTCACTTATGGCAGCTTCTGGAAGTTCTGAAGGTCCTGGCTGAATCCCCGCCTCTGGCACCACATCTTCTCCAGCCTCCTCATTGTCTGACTCGAGTGCCAGCTGCACAGGCTGCTGGCGCAGCACCACACCAGCCTCCTTGCTGTTGGAATCAGCTACTAGCTGCACAGGCCGCTGACGGGCCACAACACCCTTGGAGAAAGGACTTGGTCTATTTTGACCAGGTCATGGTTATCCCAAAAATGCTTTTTCAAAAATAATTGGTTAGCATTTTCTGGCACATCAGTGCATAAGTCCTAAAGGTGCTTTTTTTCAAAAGAAAGCTGGACTTCCTTTGTTTTTCCTTGAAGACATTTTGCTTCTCATCCAGGAAGCTTCTTCACTTCTGGAGAACAGTTCTTCAGAACTGAAGAGGCTTCTTGGATGAGAAGTCTTCAGAACTGTTCTTCAGAACTGAAGAAGCTTCTTGGATGAGAAGCGAAACCTCTTCAAGGAAAAATCAAAGAAACCCAATTGTCTTTTGAAAAAAAGCACCTTTGGGGCTTATTATGCGCCGAGGTGGCTCGAAAAATGCTAACCAATTATAATCGAGTTAATAACTGGCCTTATTAACATCGTCACATCTCCAAGTGAGCAGCCAAGACTTAGAAAGACAAAAAAACGCTTCAAGTGAAATGGGAAGTTATCTTCTTTGCTAATTGTGAATCTCATCAACCACCTGCTGGGACCAACTGCATTGACTAGTTTGGGGGAATAATGAAAAACCATTCCCAATTAAATGACCGAACCGTGCCGAACTTTAGCACCCAGCCACTTCGCTTCTACAAAAACAGACGTTTTGCTTCTCATTAGCCAATGGATCTTTTGATAGCTAGACAAAAGGGACAATGGTTTCTTTAAACACCACTGAATGAAAAATCCATCAGTGGTCCATGTACCCCTTTTACAACTCAATCGAGCAAAAAGGAAGAAACACAAGTTTGAAACAAAGCAAAGTCATCTTCTGTGGATGTTTCCCTATCAGCATTGATTTCTGATAAGTTGGTGAATTGTTCCGATTCTACATTAATTATATTAACAATATCGTCCTTTCTGATTTATAGACAACTGGAGATTAACCAGACTGAAGGAAGAATATATAGGCGATAGGGGCAAAAACACAGTTTCTCCTTCCAGAGGGAGCATTACATATTTTTTTAAAAAAAAACATTACTCAGATTGTCCTAAAGATGCTTTTCCAAAAGGCAATTGGGTTTTCTTGTTTGTTTGTTTTCTTGAAAACATTTCGCTTCTCCTCCAAGAAGCTTCTTCAGTTCTAACTGAATAGAAATCCTTATATTTCCCCGCCATTCAGCTAGAACTGAAGAAGCCTCTCGGATGAGAAGTGAAATGTTTTCTAGGAAAAACAACAAGAAGAAAATCCAGTTGCCTTTTGGAAAAGCACTTTTGGGACAAAGGTGGATGATTGAGGATCTCCTTAGACATCAAGACACTCAAATGTTTGGGGGAAAAAAATTGGAGCTACATTCCATCCACTCTACCACCTTGTCGCTAGAGAATTGTGGTTTATAGCAAAGATCTTTGGGGAAAAAAACATACAAAGAAGAAGGCAACACTAAAAAAATTCCACTGCAGTCTAGATCCCACATGTCCCTTTGCCCCCAAAACAGGTTTCCAACCCCTTTTTGTGTACAGAAATATTCATATGCTATATCCTATCCTGCTCCGATCCTCTCTTTTGCACATTTTTTTAAAAAGTTACTTTTCTGAAGTCGACCTAGAAAATCCTTGGCAGGTTTCAGCTCCTTCCTCCCCTCCTCAATCAGGAGTCAGAACGGTCTCCCACATACTCTAAGATAAAGGTAAAGATTCCCCTCGCACATATGTGCTAGTCGTTCCTGACTCTAGGGGGCGGTGCTCATCTCTGTTTCAAAGCCGAAGAGCCAGCGCTGTCCGAAGACGTCTCCGTGGTCATGTGGCCTGCATGACTCAACGCCAAAGGTGCACGGAATGCTGTTCCCTTCCCACCAAAGGTGGTCCCTATTTTTCTACTTCCATTTTTTACGTGCTTTCGAACTGCTAGGTTGGCAGAAGCTGGGACAAGCCACAGGAGCTCGCCCCGTTCACGGTGCTAGGGATTCGAACTGCCGAACTGCCGACCTTTCGATCGACAAGCTCAGCATTTTAGCCACCGAGCCACCGCGTCAGATGAAGCAAAATCCAGGCAGGATTTTAGTAGGGCAAGGCACCCCTTCCCCTTAGTAGCCTGCTTACTCACATGTTGTCCATGTCCATGTTGGATTGAACTCTATGTTGGATTGAAAACCAAGATGTTGTGTTTGCTCTTGAGAAGAAAAGAAAAAAAAAACAAGGTTAAAATAATCCAGCGTACTCCCTTTCTTGACACACTGTCTAATTATTTTATTGATATCTCCAAGAGAGACGTGTTATAATTAGAAACCCCAAAGAGGCCACTTGGTGGCTCTGGGTATTATTTATATCCCTAGCAGCAAAGAAAACCTGCGATGCCAGTCTCTAGTGACATCTATGAGTCTTCCAGGAGAACAATGAAACACGCCCACCCAGTCACATTACTCCCCACCAAGCCATGCCCACAAAACCGGCAGTAACAAATTTTACATTTCACCACTGGATGTACCCATAAATCCAGAACATTCTATCACATGTGGTGGACACGTCCCATCACAAGGAAGTATTGGCGTAAAATTCAAAAATGGTTGGAAGAAATTACAAAGCAAAAAATTAGATTTGAAACCTGAACTGTTTTTATTAGGAATACTGGACCCGAAAATGGAGAAAAACCTTCAAGACATTACACTACACATACTCACTGCAGCAAGAATCACACTCGCAAAAAAATTGGAAGCAAAACAATGTACCCTCAGACAAAACAGTAATTAGGAAAATTCTAGAATGAGCAGAGATGGATAAAATGACTATGGAGTTGAAAGAGGAGGAGGATTTGGACTATGATGAAACATGGAATAAAATGTACAGTTGGCTCGAAAATAGAAACCAGAACAGGAAATGTTTAACTTAATACTGATGAAACTCAAATTGGAGTAACTGAATAACATTAAATAAAGAGATGTAAATATAAACAAATATAAATATGTAGATAAGGAAAATGAATATTATAATATATGTACATATATATATATATATGTTTTTGTAGATTTTCACGGGTACAGGTATGCAAGTCTTATACACCAAGACTTGCATATATATATATATATATATATATATATATATATATATATATATATACACATACACACACACACTGTATATATGCGATTATACTACAATTGAGAAGTAAATAGAAATGATAGAATAGAGAAGTACAAAAGCAAAATACGTTAGTTTTAGTTTTAGTTTAGTTTAGTTTAGTTTTATTAAATTTGTATACCGCCCTACTCCCGAAGGACTCAGGGCGGTGAACAGGCACAGGATAAAATACAGAAATACAAAAGTTAAAAACAATTTAAAACCAAATTAAATAATATTGGCCCACGACAATTAAAATCCCAATAAATTTAAAACAAATTAAAATTTCAATTTAAAATTTAAAAGAAAGGGGAGAAAAATTAGGCCAGACATTGTCAATACAGAATGCTGTAAAATTACCATTGACGGTATATAATGTTCAATACATTATGTTTTGACACGTTTTGTTTTTTTTATATGTGTGTGATTGTTTTTTGTGTTGTTTTTTTAAAGACAAACTGTTTAATAAAAATTATTTTAAAAAGAAAAAGGATATGTGTGTGGGTGTGTGTGAATATAAACTATATAATATACCGGTGTGTGCAGCATTATCCCTCTTTTCAATGCAGCATTTCTGAGGTAAATGATCATAAACAAACATTAAATATTAATACCGATGGCGAACTCCATTGTAAATTGGATAAGACCCGCCAGAGGTACACAGAGAATGGCAAATTCTCTCGGAGGATCACAAATTCTTTAAGGAATGATTTAAAAAGTGTGAGCAGCGCTCAGTTCTTGGTGACTTCCTGAACATGTATGAACGGGTATGGATTTTTTTTAATATATATATATATATTTTTGGAAGGACCCAGAGGTGGTTTGCCCTCACTTTCTTCTCTTTTTCGCTTCTCCGGTTAGCTTGCAGCTCTGGTTTTCATTGAGGGCTTCCATCCAACTGAAGATCAAGTCTGTCCCTGCTTAGCTATCTCAAGACTAGCCAGATTCCCCTCCTACTGGCTCAGCTTTGATGACAATCATCATCTTCTTTTAACTTCCCCATAATCCCCTGTGGCGTGGAGTCTGGGCAACTGAATGGAGCTGAGGGTTTCCTGGCCGGATGCCCTTCCTGTCACCAATGCGGAGTCATATTCAGCAGATATATTCTCATCGTGCCCAGAGAGAGAAATATCTGC